GAAATCTGTGATTACTTCACTGTGAAGCTCAGAGTAAGATTACTGGAGGTTAATTATCAGAGATGCTGAATATTAACCAAGTATTTGAAACTGTCTTCACTGTTGGTAGGAAGAGAGGCGCTAGTATCAGTTCTGTATTTCAATTTGCATCCTGATTCAGGAAAAAAAGATGCTTAAAAAATAACAGGAGAATCTTACATCTATATAAAGTCATTTATAACTTAAATGTCACTTTTTCTGTTTTTATTTCCTTCGGTAACATCAATATGAACATCCATGAGTATTATTGAACCAGCTTGCTAAAGAGCTGTATGATGTATATATTCACAGTGGCAAAATTTTTGAAGTGTACGTTCTATCTGAAATACAGAACTGATGCTGCCATAGAAAAATCACTTCTGTGGTGTTTATGACCCGAAGTTTTGTGAACGATGTATGTTGAATTTCATTCTCATACATGGCAGAGCAGACCATGTCAATACATTCTCATTTCTATTACTGCTTTTAAACTGGATTACCTGAAATAAAAAGCTAACAGGCCATATTAGTGTGGTCTCAGAGGTGTCTGTGATATTCAGTCTTGATGTAGTGATGAAATAAAGCTAACAGCTACATCTGCTCATGAAAGTTACTTGCAAATTTGTTCTGCTTGTAAGATCTGTCACTAGCATTATACCAAAAGCACAGATTAGTCACTTGTCATTTCTTTTTCCTGAATTTGAGTACTGGTATTGTGGTTATTTCCCTTTTTTTCATGGTCTTCTACATTTCCTAAACATTTGAAATGGTAATAATTCACTCTATGGTTTCCACTGAGGAGGAAATAGGTAATTGTCAAAATAATCATGTCTGGGATTCAAGCATCCAGGGGTGTTATTGCACTGAGGCTTCTCAATGTGCTTGAGGAAAAAAAGTTCTTGGGTACGAGTAAACCAGTGAATAATTTTTTGAATTGGGCAATGCTTTGATTAATGAAGGTACTGTAAGTGTCCTGAAAGCATACTTGCTACAAGAGTAAAATTCATGTTGCAAGTATAAAAAAACAAACTGTTTTTCATCTTGCTGATGCATTAGAAACTGACTTATGTTGTAGTGAATGCGTGTCACTGTCACAAAAACCAAATCATTTGGTGGAATGGAATGTGGCTGAAGGTAGGAAATGGAGATTGGAGAGAAAGCATTGCTCAGAGTGAACAGCGTTAATTTCAAGGATAGGGAGAGATTTCTCTTAAACTGTTGTTCTTAGTTTGTTGGACAGATAACTGGAAAACAGAGCTGTCTCTTGACCCGTGAGCGTTTTCTGGCTGCTGGAATGAAAAGACTTGGAACTAAGTCCTGGTTTTTCCACTGAGCATGCCCTTCTCTAGCAGTGTCAAGGCTTGGGTGGGGTCACTCTTATTGAATAACTCTTTTCAAAAAGACTACTGGATTCTCCTCAGCTTGCAACATGTTTTTCAGCTAGGGAACAGCACAGTGCTAGCTTGATAAGCAGATTCTGTATGCGCGTATGTATTCTGGCAAAAAAAACTTCCTGATTCTCATTCAGGACCTTTTCTTGAAACTTCTAGCCTTGATATATTGAACTATTTGTAGGTAGTAAATACAGACATGAGAGACTCACATTGCCTCTGGGTATGGTATGGATAACATTAGGATGAGTGAAAGATGCTTATTTGCTTAAATTTAATTCCAGAAGCGTTTCGATGTTGGCTTCACAACTTGCCTTCTTATAGCTCTTGAAAGCTTTTGTATAGTTTGTGACACAAGAATATAAATACTTTTCAACAAGCAATGATGTAGTCTTCAGTGCTTTTTATTTAATTTATTAATACTTTCTATTATATGCTTTTAAGACTGCTACCTGGTGTCAATAGACAAACTTTAGCAAAACAGCTTGTGCTATAGTAATCTTTGCTTTCTGAGGAGTTGTACCTCTTAATACTATAGGTTTTAAAGGAATTCAGTTTAAGTTGTATATGGATTGCAATAGCTGAGTTACTCACCAGAAAAATATGAACTGATGGCCTGCAACAGGTGCATTTTGAAAAGATGGGAGCACCAAAATGATTGGGAATAAACTTAGTTTCTTGGACAAGGGGAAATGGTTTTAAGTTGAGGGAGGGAAGATTTAGGTTGGATGTCAGGGGGAAGCTCTTCACTATGAGAGTAGTGAGGTGCCGGAACAGGCTGCACAGAGGTTGTGGGTGCCCTGTCCCTAGAAGTGTTCAAGGCCAGATTGGTTGGAGGCCTGGGCAGCCTGGTCTAGTATTAAATGGGGAGGTTGGTGGCCCTGCATGTGGCGGGGAGTTGGAGCTTCATGATCCTTGAGGTTCCTTCCAACCCTGGCCATTCTGTGATTCATTCAGTGATTCTGTGTGCTTTAATAGAGAAAAGATAATGAGAAATAGTCATAACTGTCATATTTTGACTTACAAACAGGAATTGAAGTAACTTTTTTTTGAGTTGTTTTGGGTCAGAAACTTGTCAGCATGATAGTTTCATTGTGAAAGTATTCTATCTATACTGCAGGTACTCATTGTGCAATTTTTGCCAGAAATAGCTTTCTCTGTCTCATTTCACTTACTGTCTACATCTTTGATGGTTCTGTCCCTGGTGGTCTTCAGAACTACTGTAGCACTTCCTTCTGAATCTATTATTTATGTATCTTTTAAGCTCACAACATCTTGTGTAAGGACTTCTGAGTTTTTCTGATGAGTTCTGAGAATTCTACAAAAAATGGTAACATATATTTTGCAGTATTTTTCTTATACTACACCACTTGGCTCTGCAGACTTAAATATTTTTATCCCAACATAAGTATTTCCTGGTAATTCAAGTGTATGCTATATTTGAAAGGAGAACATTGTATGCATGCAGATGGCTTTATGATGAAATGGATTTTAACATAGAGTAACAGAGCACCTGTTATTTTGAATAGTGACTTAAGCAAGAATTCGTGCAGTATTATTCCTGTTAACTTTGGGGCTCATGGCCACCGTGCATATTTCTGGAGTTCTTTGGAAATTGGATTTTTTGGAAGACCTAATATCCTTTAGGGAGATACTCTTCTGTGCCTTTTCTGATCTCGGAGATGCGTGTGCACGTAGCCTCCACGTGTATGCTTAAACATCCACCTGTACGTGTGCACAGGTAAATAATTCTTAGCATCACCAAGTAGTAAGTCACTGTATGCACCTCTGAAATGCTATGTATTAAAAATAGTTCATGTTAGGACTTATATGAAAACATACAATTTCTTGTCACAACTCATGAACCATGCTTGAAATTTGAATATTGTTGCTGTTTGCAGTTGGACCTGTGAATTGTTCTACTGGTTTTTAGAACTATTATGGCACCATCTGCTGACCAATATAAAGACTGGCAATGAGGCTACTACACTGAAAATGAGCTGATAATATTGAATTAAGAAGCAGTTTGGATGGAATCGTAAGGATAAAGGTTGATTTTTTTTTTTCCAGTTGGCTCATGTTTCTAAGAAGTATTTTCAGCAGGAGATATCGTTGGAGAGGCATATATCATAACATAGTTTTAGGTGTCTAATCACTAGCACTGTTACAGAAAGTTTTTCTGTAAACTATTAAGCTTTCAAATCTTTTTTTTGTCTGTAGGATAGAGGGTTGTTCTTAATATTCTGCCCATCAGTACTTTATCTTCTAATCTTACAAAGGGGACAGTTGACAGCTTAAGATCAGTTTAGGCCCAGCTCCAGTGGTCTTGTTGTGGCATAGGAACTGTTTGACTCTGTCAGAGTTCTTTGTCATGGGACTGTTGCTGAGACAAAAAATTAAAATCTGCAGCAGTCTGTCCCTTTAGTCTGTACAGTTAACCTCTTGCCACCTTCAGTATGTAAAGGCTGAGGTTTTGGTTCAATTGCTAAAAATAATCTTAATTGTTTGAAAATAAGTACTTGGATTTCATATTTGTAGGCATTTTCATGTGGGTTATTTGTTCAAAACTTTAAAAAATTGTTCAGTCATTCTCCACATTCTCCACGTTCTCCATCTTTAATTTTCAGTATCATCAATTTCTGTGGGAGTTCTTAAAAATGAAGTTAGTCTGAGCTTTTTAGATTCAGTAATCAAAGTACATCTGTTTGTATGTATGGTCTTCTATATGTATAAATACAGAGAGATGCAGGTTCCAACAGGATAACTGTTCTGTTGCTGTTCTTTGAGGAGTTGTTTTACTATAGATGAGTGCTTTATTGGAAGCTGCATACTGTAAATGCTGTATGATGTTATTAAACAAATTCTATTTATGCTTTCCTAAGGATCGTAGAATTAAACAATGAAATAACGTTCTCTGGTTCCTGATTCATTTCTTTGAGTTCAAAGAATTCTTTCAGTTTTTACAATTGTTAAACCATGTTAACAATGACCAACAAGTGTATCATCTCCTGAGATTGTTTCTTGTTCTTCAGACCTCAGTAATCTTTCCACTTGACTGGCTGCCTAAGGTTCTACTTTCCTTTTTGCTGCAAGACTCTTAAGCTCATTCATATAGGTTATTTCAAAATAAAGAATATACTTAATTTTACCTTGTGGTACAAAGGTGGTATGTTAGGGAGAAATCTGCATCTTTTAGCAGCCTTATGATTAGAGAGGGGAAAGTACTTAGTACAGTTGTGCTATTCAGTAAGAGCAAATGCAAGTTCACAATGCCTCTTTAGGAAGGGAAGAAAACATGCAGTTGATGTTTGGGCAGGTGAATTTTGAGTATGATCATATTGCACTTTCAGAGTAGCAAAGCAGCAAAATCTAGTACTACACACCAAGGGATAAGAGTGTTGATTTTTAGCTGATTTTTGGAAAAATAACAAATGTTAATAATAAAGATCATTTTCATGTTCTATTACAGTATTGTTTGTTTTCAATTTCATCTGTTGTAGACTATTGCTACAAATGACTGTGAATGTGTCAGTAAAAGTAGTGATGCTACATAATGCTATTTTTATTGTTGCATTTTTATTTGTTTTTTAGTTTAAGCTGTGACAATGACAACTGAAGTTGGCTCAGAGACAGAAGTAAAGAAAGATTCTGAGCAGGTGGGACAAGACAAAGCCAAGGGCAAGCCTGAAGAAGCCTCAGAAACTCCAGGAAATGATAAGTCCAGGAAAGCATCCTCTGAAGAGACTCAAGATTCTCCTGTCCCAGCACCAACCAGCCCTAGTAGCCCAAGTAGCCAGAAGAAGGAAAAAGATTCATCTGAAAGCAAGGGTATTTCTCGTTTCCTTCCTCCCTGGCTTAAAAAACAAAAATCCTATACCTTGGCAGAACCCAAAGATGAGGCTAAGAAAAGAGCAACAGGGGAAGAACAAATAGCTGAAGAAGGTGAAAGCCATCCATCCGAGGGGGTGGCTCAGCCAAAAAGGAGCTTAGAAACAGTGGCTGAAAATAATGCTAAAGGAGATGACAAAGAAGAAAAACACTCTGTTAGTAGTGCAGAAACACAGGTAAGTGTGAGAGTGTGTATGAATGTTTTGGAACAATTCTGAGGAGGTGGGGGGCTACTTCATGATGTATGTAATCTGTGTGAGACTTTGTTGGTATCATATAAGGAAAAAAATGGCAGTTACTGTCACTTCGTGAAATAGGGTTGGTATGAGTAAGCTCCTCAGCACAATAGTTACTTATTTGGCTCAAGCTGTTTTAGCTGTAACTTTAGCATAACATCATCCTTTGGCATAGTCCAAAGGGATAGTGAACTGACTATTACAGTAGCAATGAGAAGGGATAAGAGGAGAAGCTTCTTAACCAGATTTGCCTCTGAAGCCTTTGTATTGCACAAATAGCTCCTTAGTGACTTAATCCATTTGTTATCTGTTGTAGTTATCTCAGAGTCCTTAGATGTCAATCTTTTGTTATACTTAACCTCAAACCATTCTTGTAGCTATTGCTCTTATTGATTTGCTCTAGGAATCTGGTACTGAGTTTGAAAGCAAGCACCATATTCTGCAGTGTTTCTGAGTCCTGATGTGCACAAGTTGTTTCAGTTCTTAAACCTCAAACCTCACATTCTCTAGGGCCACAGTGGTGATTAAGGACATAAAGAATCTTTCATAGGAGGAGATTCTGAAAGAGCTGGAATGCTTCAGCCTGGAAAGAAGAGTAGGGAAAATCAATGTATCTGAAGGGAGGAAATGAAGGGGTGAGACTCTTCTGTGTGGTATGCAGAGAAATGACAAGAGGCAATAGGTGCAGATTAGCTGTAGTGGTGGTCTGTCAGTGAAAATACTGAAAATCCTGCTGGAAACAGTCCTGGGCAAACTGCTGTAGTTCCCTCTGCTTGAGCAGGAATACTGGACTAGATCAAAAGTTACTTTCTAACCTGGAGTTTAAAAAGAAACTTTTTTTAGTTTAAAGCAAAGAAACAAAAAACCCTAGTGTATAAAGAAAGAAAAAAGGCACATTCTATGATTTCAGAACAAGAACAGAAAACCTTTTTTCAGTATCAGGCCAAATAGACCTCAGTGCTTACACAGGTTGTGGTTCTTCCAATGTATGCATAAATTTTATTAAGGCTTAATTTCTGAATTAGTGGCTTCTAAAAGAAATGAACAGGATAAAAAAAAAGGTCCTCTTTCATGAGCTTGAATTATCACAGAATTGTTTAACTGTATTTTATGTAGCCTGCCAAAGAAGATGGTAAAGAAATTGAAGTAGAAAAGGTTACAGAAGAAAAAGAAGAAAAGGAAAAAAGGGAGACAAAAGAAGTGCAGACAGCTGAAAGTATTCCTCAGAAGCCTCCTAAGAAAATTAAAACTGTGCAGTGTAAGGTGGTGCTCCTGGATGGCACAGAATACAGCTGTGATCTAGAGGTAAGGTATTAAGTCTTTATATAGAGCTCTCTTTCTTTATAGAGAAAAAGGAAATGCTTTCATTTCATTTTGAGTTTAGCAAGTATATTTTTGTGTGTCTAATTAACACATTACAAGGTTGCATTCCCACTGCTATCGCTAAGGCTCAGTTAACTGTTCCTTTTTGAACTTGATTTCTATTTTGTCCTTAAAAAATGCACTATGTGTTATGTGCAAAGTGTAACACTGTGTTATACTAGCAAAGAAGATAAAGTGCAATTAACAAAACAGTTTGAGCTACCCAGAGATCACCTCTGAGCAGTTGTGTTTTCTGTTGTATTTGTGTTTTGGTTGAAGGTTTTCCACAGTGTGGTGTCACATACATTAGTAAAGTTGCCTTGAGTTCATTAGTTTCAATTAAAATAATAATCTCAGCTGGATATATATTTAAAAAAAAATTGCTTCAAAATAGAATTCTGTTATAAGTTTAAAATACATGCTTTTGTATTTAAAAATTTTCAAGTACCAAAACTTCACAGCTGCATGGATATTTACAAATATAAATCGCTGGATTAGACATTGTATACATTTGTCTGTTAAATCTGACTGAAGATCACTGGCAGAAAGTAAGCTTACTGGAAAACAGCTTCTTGGCTTTTATAGCTTTGACATCCTCTGAATATTCTCTTTCAGTCTGATCATAGTCTCCAAACTTCAAGTCCAACAGAAGTTGTTTAATATTTTAGATCAAAGTTTAATAGTGAGACATAAAATTATATGAGAGGAAGAACAAAGTTGCATTCCAAATTTTCTGTCAGTGAGATAATTTGAAGTGTATACTCTCAAATTTAACAGACTTTATAATTTTAGATATAAAAATGGGTAGCTATGACTGGGTTCAGAGGATGTGAATTCAGAAAATGTTTTTTTCCCCTCAGTGCATGACTAGATTGCAGATGCTTGATCTGTTTAATTCCTTTTTGCTCTGTTTATATATTTTTACTGTCCTTCATTCTACACTATGAATATTTAGAATGCCTCAAATCAGTCACTTTTTCCCTTTTTTTCTTTCCACTCAGTACTCATTTTGGTCTGAAATGCCAGAATCCAGTCAATTTTTCTTCATTTTATCACTGTTTTATTGCTGTCTTACCATAACTAGTTGTAAATCTTACTCTTTAAAAATAGCTTACACGTGTGCTTGGGTGACTGATAACGTGACAGTGCTCTTCACCTTTCTTTACTGTAAGTGGTAAAGGAAAGGATGCCATTTATACTCGTGTTGATAATTATCATATGCTCATACTTGATTCTTTTGAATATGCCAGTTTTCTTGTTAATTCTTTGAACTTGTTTTAGTGTTGAGCAGATGTTATTAGTTTCTCATAGTTGTTGAAGTATCAGCAGTGACTGTGTTTGAATCTCCAGATCTACATGCATCACCTATAAGCAACAGTACATGCATTCAAGAATTAACAGGGCAAAAAGCTCCTATGTATATGAAAAACAGAACTCACAAAAGCAGAGGGAATGACAAAGATTTTAAGGGCAAATCTTTATCTTCTCTGGAGTAAATTGTTGTGTTTGCCTCTCACTTTCTTCTTCATGGTGACTTAAGTTCAATGAATAGAATAATCAACAGAATAGTACATGCACTCCTAATATTTCTAAGGGGGAATTCCTCTGTAGAATTAATAGTAATTTATGCCTCCTATACTAATCAGAACAGTTCCTCTCAATCATGTTCTTTAAGCCACAACCTAAGGAAACTCTAAAAGAACATGTTTCAAAAACACTCTGGTTTTAGGAAGTATTAAACTTCCAGTGCAGGGTGTGTGTGTTTGTTTTCTGCCTGAAGGGATGGAAGTTTGTTGCTGAGTTTATGCTCAGATTTCTTTCTAGAAATAGCTACTTTGAAGGAGACAACAACTATTATGAGTGTGTTCCCAGAGCAAACAATATTTTTATTCAAAAAAATTCATCAGTAAGTCTGTAGTTTGTATTTGGTGCAGCAGTGCTCACGGCTAAGTCTGATAGAAGGTTTTTCAGCTTTTCCAGCTTGTTCCTTACTTTTTCACTTAGATTAGTGGGCAAATTATGGATGCTATTAATGGTTTGATTTAAGGGGCAGATTCAAACTAAAATGCTTGTTTTTACATTAACATAAATGTTGTAAAATGCATTTGTATGAGACTGAAAGATTCCATGACTTCAGAAAGTGATTATATACATCTTAAGAGGAAATATCTGTATGGGGACATTAACCAGAAATACACTTTGGGATCAGGAAAGCCTAGAGCTGAGGATTCTAGGGATTTAGAGACTATATAACTGTTTCTACATGTGATACCTATTATCCTACATTAGCTGTAGGGTACTGGTCTAGACAGAGCTTTTATGTTTGAGATTCTTTTATTTTAATAAGTTCTGGTTAAGTAAGGTAGCAAATAGATCTGATCAGCAGATTACTGCAGGTTAATGCTGTCTCCCTAAAGATAGCAGTTGCTTTAGTGCAAAGGCTTGGAAGGCTGTTTTCTGTTATGACAAAGAGGACTAGCTATTTTCTTCAGTTCCTGTATACAAAGCTACTTGAAATCTACAGAGAACCAATCCTCCATCTTTGACTAGTTTTGGTTAGACTCATGTTAGGGTTCCTGGGAAACCAAGCAGGCTTTTTTGGTAAAATCAAACCAACCTCCAAATGCATAAAAGATGGACATATCTCTCCAGCAGCACTGACTGTGTGTGATGTGTGAACTGCATGGCCATGCCGTGCAGCTGGAACTCCAGATACAGTGTTCATCTCTTAAGTAGATTGTCATGGTTTTGTTTTTTTTTTAACCAGTACTCTTCTTCACAAATATAATGAAGTTATTTCCATGTAAAATAATGTCCGCAATTCACTGAGATGTTAGTCTGAAGCAGGAGTAACTATACTGAAGCTTTTAACTACTCACAACTTGTATATAGGTTGAGCATGCTGAGGGCCATGCTCACAGAGTGGCTTTTGTATGATCTGCAGCTAAAGGAGTTAGTAAGATCATCAGTCACTGCCAGTTATGTTGGAAGATGCATGCATCTGAAATTAACTGGTGGCAGGTTGGTACAATACCTCAGGAGGTCATTACTATGAATAAGTCTGGGAACATTTCTCTTGTCTCTGCAGGTGTACAGTATGTCCCCTGCATTGTATAAATAGCTCACAGGCTTATCCGTGGCCTAATCAATTAAAACTAACGTAATAAAAATATGAAGAAATTAAGTGAATTTAATGTACTTAACCATTGTTTTGAGTCTGAACAAATCTGTGTTATAGTAGGACAAGTATTAGGCAAGATGATGCTGGGTTAACTTTATTCACAGGAGATTTCAAATTTGTATTTGGCTTACTGTGCTGTCTTGTTCCAGAATGTACACCTGTCTGTTTTCAATTCCTCTACCTTGCTTTTTGTTCTGGGTCTGTGTTTGCAGGGTTGATCTCCCTTGGTTGATTATTGTAGTACTGTAGGCCTGACCTGTACTGCACTATCGTCACTATGTAGGAGCTGCTAAGCAGACTTTTTGACACTTCCGTATTTCTCTTTACTTGATGGGAACTTATTTACTAGATTGTGAAGGCCTTCCTCTTATCCTTTTAGCCTTCATCTGCTAGCCTTTTGCTTTCTTTTCTGCTGTATCACATTCCAAAGTCTCCTTCAGTCAGCCTCTACATGATGGTTTTGTGGGTCTCTTTGAACTGTGCAGTCAAAAGCTACATCGTTTCCCCTGTATCCTCCCTTTTCATTAGGTTTCCCAGTAGTTTAATTACATACTGTGTAGTATTTTATAATTTTATAATATACTTCTATTATATTTTCTAATAAAATACTACATGGATGCTATTCAGCTGTCTTTTTGGATCTTTTGAAACTAAGAGGAAACTGGAGAAACGTTGTTCTTAAGACTTCAAGAATTTTCATCATGTCTTAGTTTTATTTTATTTCTTAGTATGTTTTTCTTCAAACCTCTTCTCCAATAAACTTTACATATCAGCACAGAAATGCATATTCATTGTCTGACAATATGAAATTCTCTCTGGTGTAGTGAGGCCATCACTGGTGTTAGTCATCAACCTGATTTTTGTGCTTTGTCAGCAGAAGAAAGTTTTATTGCAATAGAACATGAACATGAAAAATACTCTACAAAATAATTGCTCTCTGGCAAAAAAAAATTGTGTAGGTCTATGCATACTTATATTCTGAAGTAGCAGGAACTTTGTCCCTAAGAGTTCTTAAATGTTTAATACATATATTTGTACTTACATATGTACATACAATCTCTGTAGTATTTATTACTTATATATTTTCCATAAATATTTAAGAATTGATATGGATGGTGTAATAAGGTGACTCTGCAGTTGTTTTCACATAAGCCAAGATGTTTGAATCTGAATCGTATCTCTGTATTAATTGAGGATTATGAATGTGAACTTCCTGGGCCTTTTCACCATCCAATAATGAGATGTCTTAAATGTATGGTAAAAAAAAAACCTCTGTTTTATGACATTTTATATCCACAACTCAAAGATAACTATCTGCAGTCTTTTCCAACTTTGATCCTGTGATTCTAAGTCCATTGTGAATCATTTAAATTGGTAAAGAAGATTCAGAATATTCGTTTTCTAATTATTTGTAGTAAATGGTCTCTGTATCTTGCTTCTACAGAAGCAAAAAATTAAGGAGGGAAGCAAAATGGAAACAGAAACAATCTGTCATGATTTTTTGGATCGTACTGAGGGAATGTGAGGACTGCTGACTGCAGTTTTACAAATCAGTTTTTTTTTTCAATATATGAAGAGCTTTTATAATTCTTCTACTGTACATACTGTACATACAAGATATTACAATTATCAGCTGCTTCAACTGATAACTGAAACTTCAGCTTCTTTTCTCTGCAGTGGATCTTAGATGAGTTTCTGGTACTGGTCCTTTCTTTACTCTTCCTTTTAGTTTTTAGTGTTTTTGTAAATGTTGATTTATTTC